CTGCCAGGCCGCGGGCGCCGCCCGCCGCCGTCGTCGAAGTCGTCGTCGTCGTCGTCGTCGTCGCCGCCGTTGTCGTCGTCGTCGTCGCCGCCGTCGTCGTTGTCGTCGCCGTAGTCGGACGTCGGGCACGGGGCCGCCGGCGCTCTCTTCGCGCCGCCGCGCGAGTCCGGGCCGGGTATGCACGCGCGCGGGGGCCGTCCAGGGGCCAGGGTCGGAGCTCGAGGGCGAAGTCGTCCGGGACGCACAAGTAGGGAAACGAACTCGATACACCGAGGCTTTTTCCGAGCCTGCGCTGAAGTTCGCACAGCAAAAGCGGATCCTGGTGTGTACGGGATCCTAGTGTATACGTGTCTGGGACGCACAAGTTAGGGAAACGAACTCTATACACCGACGCTTTTTCCGACCCTGCGCTGAAGTTCGCACGGGAGAGCAGATCCTGGTGCATACGGGATCCTGGTGTATACAGTTTTCTTGGTTTCTCCGCGAAAGCGGGGAGAAAGTATACACCAGACCACCCCGACGTCGTCCCCAACCCTCGAAAAGTCGTAGGACTGAAAAACGGCCCGCCACTGGTCATGTATATGTTCCAGTTTCCGAACAAGGACATACGAGTACTAGATGTCCTCGTTGGAGGCGTGCGTCCGACCCCAACATATAGCATGCCCATCTTGTAGCGCATCGATTCCCGAGCGGTGCTTCCAGAAAGCACCCGCCACGACGCACACACTAGAAGATTTCTCTGTGCGCGCGTCGCCCCTGCGGGGGCGACGCACACGTAGTAGTAGTAGTAGTAGTAGTAGTAGTAGTAGTAGTAGTAGTAGTAGTAGTAGTAGTCATCGTAGTAGTAGTATTAGTTATAATAGTGTAGTAGTAGTATAGTAGTAGTAGTAGTAGTAGTAGTAGTAGTAGTCGTAGTAGTAGTAGTAGTAGTGTATAGTAGTAGTAATAGTAGTCGTAGTATAAGTAATAGTATAGTAGTAGTAGTAGTAGTAGTAGGAGTAGTAGTAGTAGTAGTGTAGTAGTAGTAGTCGTCGTAGAATAGTAGTAGCGCAGTAGTAGTATAGTAGTGTAGTAGTAGTAGTAGTAGTTAGTAGGAGTAGTAGTAGTAGTAAGTAAGTAGTAGTATAGTAATGGTGTGGTGGGTGGTGTGTGGTCGTGGGGTCGTGTGGTCGTAGTAGTAGGTAGTATTAGTAGTAGTAGCAGCAGCAGCCATCAGCAGCAGCAAGCAGCAGTAAGTAGTAGCAGTAGTAGTAGTAAGTAGTAGTAAGTAGTAGTACGTAGTAGTAGTAGTAGTAAGTAGTAGTAAGTAATTAGTAAGTAAGTAGTAGTAGTAGTAGTAGTAGTAGTAGTAGTAGTGTAGTAGTAGTAGTAAGTAGTAGTAAGTCGTAGTAGTGTAGTAAGTAGTAAGATAGTAGTAGTAGTAGTAGTAGTAGTATTAGTAGTAGTAGTAGTAGTAGTAGTAGTAGTAAGTAGTAGTAGTAGTAGTAGGTAGTAGTATAGTAAAGTAGTACGTTAGTAGTCGTAGTATAGTATTAGTAGTAGTCGTAGTAGTAGTATAGTAGTATTAGTATCTTCGCGTAGTAGTAGTAGTAGTAGTAGTAGCAGTAGTAGTAATAGTAGTAAGTAGTCAGTAGTAGTAGTGTACTAGTAGTAGTAGTAGTAGTAGTAGTAGTAGTAGTAGTAGTAGTAGTAGTAGTAGTAGTAGTAGTAGTAGTAGTAGTAGTAGCAGCAGCAGTAATAGTACGGTGGGGTGACGCCCAGTTGCTTCTTCCTCAAACACAGCCTGCACTGAGGGGTCCATTCTTGGGCGACGATCAGGAAGCGCGGGACGCCAAAGGAGACGAGGGCCCTCACGCGCGACCTTCCGCGAGCAACTCACGCGCCAGCGTCGGTGACGACGACCCCCTTGGCGTTCTCGGGTGACCTGGCCCCGGTGTCGGTCCGGCCGGCTCGCCGCCGCCCGCTGCCGCCCGTCGCCGCCGTCGCCGCTGGGCCTCGATGGCGGTCCGACCGGCTCGCTGTTCTCCGTAATGGGATCTCTGGGGACCTCCACAGATGTCGGGGGCGGCCAGGAGCTGGGCGTCCAAGAGGGGGGGGGCGCAAATCGGTGGCCGGCGGCATGTGCGCGGCCCAAGGGGGGGGCCAGGGAACGCATTCGAATAGGAAGAGGCGCCATGAAACCCTGGGGACACATCCCGGCCCCCGCCATGAGATCCAACCCCCCCCTACTCCAGATTTCGTAATAAAGGGAGGGGGGTCTCATTTCGGGGGGGGGTCTCTTCCAGGCTATCTTGGAGGGCCTGGGGGGGTCTGGGGACGATGTTTTGGAGGGTTCTCCCACGGGGGGGGTCTGAAATGGCTTGTCTTGGAGGGTCCAGACCCCCTCCCTTTTATTACGAAATCTGGAGTAGTCATCCCCCCCTCTTGGCCGCCCCCGAGGGCAAGAACAGTCGGCGTCGGACTGGGAAGCTGGATCGGATCGCCACGTGCATTGATTGGCTCGGGCCGCATCGGCACGGAGTCGAAAAAATCGGGTCGGCTCGGCTGCGCCAGGAGGCTCGGATAATGGCAGACAAGCATCCAGTCGGGCATGTGCCCCTACAGACGGATTTGGGGAGAATGATCAAAAATAGTCCAAAAACAAATATTCAATACTAGCCACAAAAATACTCAAAACATCGTCCCCAGACTATTTTTTACTATTTTTGAATCTTCCCTCGGGGATGGACAGAACTCCCTTTGGTCAAACGTGGTTTAGTGAAAATGACCTCGGGCCCAAACCTGGCGGGCGCAAGCCTGGAAAATGACGGCCGCGGCGCCCTCTCGAGAACCGAAAACGAACAACTCACTAATCGACGTGTCAGGGTGGAGGAGGGCCGTGCTTTGCAGCACAGCTTGCCAGGCAGTGTTTTCTACACGGACTCCACGTTTGTGCACGACGGAGTCCGCCTTCGTGGCAAGGCTTTTTGCTGCTCATCGCGCGCCGCCTGGTCAGAGCTGTGGGTCCAGGTTTGGCAGTGCGTCGACGACTGGGGCGGAGCTGACTGCACCGTCCTTCGCAAAGTCAAAGGACACTGCACAGAAGCTCGCGTCCAGTCGCGCCTCTCGTCTCGGTTTGAAAAACAAGGCAACGCACACGCGGATGAGTGGGCTCAGTGGATGGCCTCGAGGGCCCGCACTCCCTCCGAGCCCCGCGAGGTCCGTAGAGCCAAGGCCCTGGTGCTGTCTCGGTGGGCCTAATGGATTGCCCGCATTGGCCCGCGCATGTGCGACCTTGATTGCGAGCATGCTTCCAAGAAGCAACGCGGCGCTCGTAGCATCGGGAATGCGAATCGTTCCGTGCCTGGTCTGGTTGTGGAACCGCCGTTGCCCGTAGCGCCGCTCAGCTTATCTAGAGCCGACCTGGCTTCCGTGCGCTTGCAGCTCGCCGAAGAAAGAGCGCACATCATGCACCCTGTCGCCGTTGTAGGGGACGAGGGGCGGAGGCTGTAGTGTACTGTGTGTTGTGTGTGGGCTGGAAGGGACTCAGATCTCTGCTAACTTGTCACAAGGCTGCCGAGGCCCTCCAGCTCCAGGCGCCTGGGGTGCCCGTGTGCTCGCTGGCCTCAGGCGAGCGCCCTCTCGCTTCCAGGTCAACCGCGTCTGGCGGTACCTGGTTGAGCCCCTGCGCACCGCCTCGGTCGTCAGGGCTGGGGTGGTGCAACCCATCTGATGGGCTGTCTCACTGTTTCTGCACCTTTCATCTCTGTGAACTGTTCGGGAGGCGCCACCCGCCTCTGGCTGCGGCCATGCGGTGGCGCAAGTGGCATGTGGTGCGGACGAACTCGTTCGCGCTCAGGCTGGGTCCAAGGAGGACGAGGAGGGAGGAGGAGGAGGAGGAGGAAGGATGTAGGGTGCTCGATCGTGGAGAGGCCGACCGTCCCGGCAATCCTAGAAGCCAACCACGACGCATTCTTAGATCCAAAAACAGTGCTCTGAGAACGAAGACAATATTCTTACCTATACGACCACCCTTCGGGTGATGAGGAGGTTGTGGGGGGGGGGAGAGGGGGGGGAGCAACATCTGACTCAATCGATCTCACTATCGATCTCACTCAACGGGACACCACGGGCCAGAACAGGAAACCGCGGGACACCACGAGACACCGCGGGACACCTCTCGATCTCACTATCGGTCTCACTATCGATCTCACTCAACGGGACACCACGGGACACCACGGGCCACCACGGGACACCACGGGACACCGCGGGACACCTCTCGATCTCACGATCGGTCTGACTAATGATCCCACTATCGATCTCACTCAACGGGACACCATAGGACACCACGGGACACCTCGGGACACCACATCGATCTCACTATCGATCTCACTATCGATCTCACTATCGATCTCACTCAACGGGACACCACGGGACACCACGGGACACCACAGGACACCTGTCGATCTCACCATCGATCTCACGATCGATCTAACTCAACGGGACACCACGGGACACCACGGGACACCTCCGGGCACCACATCGATCTCAGTCTCGATCTCACTATCGATCTCACTCAGCGGGACACCACGGGACACCACGGGACACCTGTCGATCTCACTATCGACCTCACTTTTTGGGACACCACGGGACACCACATCGATCTCAGTATCGATCTCAGTATCGATCTCAATATCGATCTCACTATCGATCTCACTCAACGGGACACCACGGGACACCACGGGACACCACGGGACACTGCGGGACACCGCGAGCCACCGCAGGACGGACAGACGGACGGGCGGGCGGGGGAGAATCATTTGTCTTGACGTCTTGACTTCGCCCTAGCAACGGCGGACACCACGGGACACCACGGGACACCACGGGACACCGCGGGACACCGCGGGCCACCGGCCGCCCGAGGAGAATCATTTGGTCCGGCCGCGGCCCAGCCGCAGGAAGAGTTCGGGACACCAGCGGGACACCGGCGGGACACCGTGGGCCACTGGCCGCCGGAGGAG